AAAAATAATCTCGCCCAGGAATAATATCCACAGCAAATAATAATAACACAAGAGAGTAACAATGACACCAAATATTTTAGCGGGATAAAATACAATACCCGAGTGGAGAAATATTACCACTATAATATTACAACTCAGTAGTGTCAAGAAACTACTACAACTTAGAAAGAAATAACACTCTTTATTTAAAACACATCACTACAATATTACTACCACTCACTAGTTATCTCACAGACCACAATCTGTGGATTACTCTCACTGATTTATGCTTCTCTCGTTTTTTTTGGTGTGTCTTCAATGAGGAACGGATAGCTCCTTTTATAGGCACAATTTTTACCTACCCAACTAATCTGATTGGTTCAATAATTTGCAAAGTCCAGCCGCCCAAACTTTTGCAAATTTTCCAGCTGCCTATTTTGTCTTTTCCACATTTTTCTTTATTTAGTAGGTGAGGTATGGACTGCACAATTTTGCCCTCTGATCAGGAGAAAAGAGTCCAAAATGTTTCTCTGTGACCACAACTGCAACACTTTATCTTTTGCAAATCTATATAAAGCTTTCTCCAACCGCAACACTTTATCTTCATGGTTTTTGACCACGAAGCTCAATGGTTGTTCAACATAGACTTCTTCTTCAAGATAGCCATTTAAGAAGGCTAACTTGACATCTAGTTGATGAATCTTCCACTTGATTTGCGCCGCCAAAGAGATCAGCAAACGAATCGTCTCCATGCGGGCAACAGGTGCATAGACTTCTTCATATTCAATGCCTTGCCTTTGCTTGTACCCTTTAGCCACAAGTCGTTCCTTGTATCTCTCCACATCTCCATCAGCATTCTTCTTTGTCTTGTATACCCATTTCACTCCAATTGCTCGATGACCCTTGGGAAGAGTTGTTAACTCCCAAGTTTTGTTCTTCTCTATTGACTCAATCTCCTCCCCCATGGCTTGTCTCCACCTTTTGTTTGTAACAGCTTCATCAAAGTTCATTGGTTCACTGTCAGCAAAGAGACAACATAAAAAATCAAAATTCGTAACTTCTTTTGTGTCCTCATAGAGCTCTTGAATGTTCCTTTTCCTTTGCGGCTGTTCATTTGAACCTTCTTGAGAAGAGGGAGATGCAACATTTGTTAGAGAGAGGTGGAATTGTGTCCTGCACAGGTTCCACGGTCTCTGGTTCTTCTTCATCACCAAAGTATGGAAGAAAATCATGTGAAGTTTCTTCCTCAGCTTCCCAATTCCATGCCAATTCTTCATCAAATTCAACATCACGACTTACCACCACCTTGTCGCTGCTTGGGTTGTATATCTTGTAGCCTTTTGAACTTGTATCATAGTCAACAAACACATTCTTGACACTTCGTTCGTCAAGCTTCGCTCTCCCTTGATGTGGCATATGAGCATAGGCTATGCTCCCAAAGATTCTTAAGTGCTTGACACTTGGCTTTCTTCCACTCCATGCTTCTTGAGGGGTTTGATCTCTAACATTTCTTGTTGGAGACCTGTTATTCAAATAAACTGCACAAGAAACAGCTTCGGCCCAAAATTCCTTAGGCATACTTTTAGTTTTCAACATACATCTAGCCATATTAAGAATCGTTCGATTCTTTTTCTCTGTAACACCATTTTGTTGAGGTGAATAAGGTACCGTTAGAGGGCGACGAATTCCATGAAGTTGACAGAAGTCATTAAATTCGTTTGAGGTGAATTCCCCTCCTCTATCGGACCTTAGAGCTTTAATTTCATAGCCATTTTCTTTCTTTACAAGTACTTTGAAATTTTGAAAAGCAACAAAAGCTTCAGATTTTTGGTTGAAGAAATAAACCCAAGTCTTTCTACTAAAGTCATCAATGAAAAGCAGAAAGTATTTTCTTTTACCAAAATAAGGTGGATTGATTGGTCCACATACATCAGTGTGGACAAGCTGGAGCGGCTTGCTTGATCATGACATGGCCTCCTTTGGAAAACTCCTCCTTGCATGTTTCCCAAGAAGACAAACTTCACACAATTGATTTGGATGGTTGATTGATGGTATCCCATGTACCATACTCTTTTCTCCCATTGATTTGAGCGCTTTAAAATTTAAGTGCCCAAATCGCATGTGCCAACACCATGATTCATCTTGCACATTAGCCTTCAAACACTTTGCATCAATTGTTTTAATATTCAGAGAAAACAATCCATTCTTTGCCATATGCACTTTAGCAATTAGAATTCCACTTGAATATCTAAGCCAAAGATGCATATTTCATGTGGATGTCATATTCCTTTTCAAGAAGTTGGCCCAAACTTAAAATATTACTTTTTAATTTTGGCACATAATAAACATCTTGAATTAACTTGTGACTACCATCTTTCTAGGAGATCAGAATCGTACTTATCCCTCCGATTTGAACCTTTGAGGTATCTCCAAAGGACATATTACCTCTCACTGTTTTATTAATCTCCACAAACTTCTCTTTGCATCCATACATATGATTGCTTGCTCCATTGTCCAATTTCCACGAGCTGCAATCATCTCTGTCTTCTTCCTTGAGTGTCATCAACAACGTTGACTCATTTTCTTCTTTCTTGTCGTCAACAAGGTTAGCCTTTTCTTCAACATTGCTACGATATTCCCAAGAGTAATGGTCAAATTTATGACAATTATAACATTCAATTTTTTATTTGTCATACCTTTATCCATTATTTTCTTGGTAGTATCCACGTCTTCTTCCTCCTCTTTGTCCACGACCATGACCTCTGAATGTTTGGTGGATTTTAACTTCATTGTTGAAGTTGTTACCATTACTTCTTCCTCTTCCATGACCTCCTCGACCTCGGTCTCGTCCTCGGCCGTTTCCTCGATAGCTTATTTCACCTCCATAATCCTTGAAGGATGCATGAGTTTTAAGAAGTTGCTCCAATGGCACTTCTTGTCTCCTTTTTTATCTTTTCTTCGTGGGCCTGTAAAGAACCTTCCAATTGCTCCACCATCATAGAGACTCCTCAATAGCACACACCACAAAATCAAATTTAGGTGTTAAAGTGTGAAGGATCTTTTCTACCACATGGACATCTNCCTGAGAGCCAAGAATGGCTTTCATACGTAGACACCATTTCTCATAATTATCTTTTGTGAGACGAGGGTACTGAAAAGATAGTGGACCATTATTTGTCATGGCTCTGATACCACATTGTTGGGATAAAAAATAATCTCGCTCAGGAATAATATCCACAGCAAATAATAATAACACAAGAGAGTAACAATGATACCAAATATTTTAGCGGGATAAAATACAGTACCCGAGTGGAGCAATATTACCACTATAATATTACAACTCAGTAGTATCAAGAGACTACTACAACTTAGAAAGAAATAATACTCTTTATTTAAAACACTTCACTACAATATTACTACCACTCACTAGTTATCTCACAGACCACAATCTGTGGATTACTCTCACTGATTTATGCTTCTCTCATTTTTTTGGTGTGTCTTCAATGAGGAACGGATAGCTCCTTTTATAGGCATAATTTTTACCTACCCAACCAGTCTGATTGGTTCAATAATTTGCAAAGTCCAGCCGCCCAAATTTTTGCAAATTTTTCAGCTGCCTATTTTGTCTTCTCCACATTTTTCTTTATTTAGTAGGTGAGGTATGGACCCCACAATTTTGCCCTATGATTAGGAGAAAAGAGTCCAAAGTGTTTCTCTGTGATTTCTCCTTCTTTATAATTTTAATCAAACATGGCAAACAAATAAGTTTTTATAGTCTTTCCAAGTTTCTTTGGAGCTCCTGCCCCGCTTTTCATGTGATCAATCAAATTTCTGTAATAAGTTTGAGTATTTTCAGTAGTTGCTACAGAGTTTCCTTCAGAAGGCCAGCCACTTTCAGATACAATAATATCCACATTTGGTCCTTCAGCATTCTCTAAAGCAAAATACATAGAATCCAAAAGGGCATAAAAAAGGTTTTGATATCCACAAATCACATAATTAAAGTCACACAAATCAGTGTGAGTAAATGTACTGCAAGTAGATAAGGTTTGAGTGATAGGAGTGTGTATTAAGTGTAGCTAGTTGTGGATGACATAGCTTGTTTTGTAACTGTCGTTCTTGGTGATTAATGAAAATTCTTATTACCAAAAAATAAAATAAAAACCACGGAAGCCATGTTTCATATTTGACAAATGAATATAACAATTGTGGAATTCCATGCAATTCAAAAACATGAAAAATAAAAGTTGGTCTTTGTAGAATGGAAATTCCATGTCTCCGGTTCCCACCAATTCTCTCGTCTAAATTGCAAGAAATTTCACTTATCCCATGTTTGAAACTAGGGAAAAGATGGGAAAGAATGAGTGTTAGAGATTATATCCCTTATTGCTTGAGTAAGGCAGTAAGGGGTCGTTGGGTTTGGGACTAAATTGCAAGAAATTTCACTTATCTCATTGTTTGGGCTTATTCCGAAATTAGTTATAATAGTCATGTACTACGTACAGTATGCACTTCACTTGTTGTCTATGATAAGGGGCGGAGGTACAGTAGTGGGTGCGGGTTCGGGCGAACCCAATGACTTTTTTTGAAACCCTGTATTTATATTGAAATATTTATCACATATATATAAATATATCATGCTAAACCCAGTAACAAAAGAGTTTTGGGTTCAATGGTAAGGGATGCGGGTTCTTTAGAAAAAGATATGGGTTCGATTCCCAACTAAAGCAGTTTTTTTTTGTTTCGTTTTTTTAATACATTTTTTCACTACGACATCGTTTTCTAACTTAAGTACTTAAAGTTTCTTTTGTTTAACAGAAGCAACGTGCTTTTTTCTTTAATACTCCTACATTATTTCGTTTCCTTTCTTTGTTTAACAGAAGTCTTTGCTTCTTTCTTTGTTTAACAGAGGCTTTCTTTTTTTAATACATTTTTTCACTACGACATCGTTTTCTAACTTAAGTACTTAAAGTTTCTTTTGTTTAACAAAAGCAACGTGCTTTTTTCTTTAATACTCCTACATTATTTCGTTTCCTTTCTTTGTTTAACAGAAGTCTTTGCTTCATTCTTTGTTTAACAGAGGCTTTCTGGCTTTTAATTTTTTAAAGACAAACTTTTTCTCCCAATTCCCAAATATAAAAAAAAAAACTAGGGTTCTGCTGGGTTTTCTTCCAATTCCCAAATCAAAGAAAAGGCTAGGGTTCTGTTGCTTCCTCTGCTAGGGTTCGTCGGTTTATCTCATGAGGTAAAGTTTGCTTGTCACCAACCCTACCTATCTTGACAAAAGTTCTGAGTTTCATTAGTTTTATTTTGGAACCAGTAAAGAAAGAATCTTAGAGTCCTAAATTTTGCTTTTTCCTCTATTAATTTGTGAAGTAAATTGTCATAACTAATAATCAAATCAATAAGACAAGTAGACAAATAAGCACGGTTTTAATTATTGAAACAGACAATGAAGATGTTTGCTTGAATCTAGAAATTTGGTGTTGATTGATGCAACTTGACACAAGTTTGATGTCGTCTCATACTTTTGTAATTAAAATAAAGTACATGATGATTTACTCTTTTACTTCAAGTAAATTTCTATTTTGTGATTTTTAGGTTTTTCTAGCAAAAGTCGATATGATCACGAGTTTTTACCAAGCTCAAGCTACTGCAACTTCTTCTAGCTCTCCTTTGACAAGTTCTCCATGTCCAGTTATTAATAACAATATTAATCTTTCCCAAGCATCGGATAAAGTGTGCTATTATGAGCCCGATCCTGCTAAAAGAAAACCAATTTCAAAATATTCTCCTAATTTACGTGACCGTATAAGGAGAAATTATATACAAAATGGAGCTTGTCAACCCCGTGGTTTTGTCTTTCCAAAAAGAGATTTTGGGGGAATAATGCATCACTTTAGTCCTCAATGGTTAAAACTTCATGTTCTCAATGGTTAGAATATAGCATTAAACAAGATGCAGCATTTTGTTTATGTTGTTACTTGTTTAAAAATGAGGTTGGAGGATATGGAAAAAAAGTAGGTGATGCTTTCACAACAGATGGTTTTAGAGGTTGAAATAAAGCTTTAGAAAGATTTAATTCACATGTGGGTAACGTGGGTAGTGTTCATAATCGATGTTTCAATATGATGCTAGATTTAATGAACCAAGAACAATCCATTCTAACTTCTTCGGACAAACAATCTGAGAAAATTAAAAGTGATCATCGAGTTCGTTTGAATGCTTCAATTGATGTGATAAGGTATCTTTTGAAAGAAGGAATTCCTTTTCAGGGCCATGATTAGAGTGTAACTTCTACTAGGAGAGGCCATTTTTAGATCTCTTAAAATGGTATGCAGATAGGAAGGAAGATGTGAAAAATGTGGTATTAGAAAAAGCTCCAAAAAATAATACCATGACTTCTCCTGATATTCAGAAAGATATTGTGAATTCTTGTGCAAAACAAACGGTGAAAGCAATTATTGAAGACTTGAATGGGGATTTTTTTGGGATATTAGTTGATGAGTCTAAGGATGTCTCTCATAAGGAACAAATGGCTCTTGTTCTGCGCTATGTCAATAAAGAGGGTGAACTTATTGAGTGCAATTGAAATGATGCGATCATTGATCGTTGATCGTTTTCAAAACATGACAACTCGTCGAGTGCAATTGAAATGATAATGTTTATATTCATATATTGTGTTGTCTTTAGTTACTTTTTAACTATATATTAAATATCGATACTTATTCTTTAGTCGGTTTGATATTGTATATCAGTTTTAGGTTATAGTCTTATTCTAAATTTTAGAACCCACACACTCCAAATCCTAGCTCCGCCTCTGTCTATGATGCTTAGATTCTTCCAAACTTTGTGTTATTAAGAAGTTTGCTTTCATAATCCTTTTCTCTATCGATTCCTTTATTGCTCTAGCTAGGAGTTCTCTCTTCAACAGCTAGCTAGTCGATTCAACCTATTCAGACAACTTACCTGTTAAAAGGGCAACTTGCTGTATAAAACATTCTGTGCTCGCACAGGGCCTGGGAAAGACTGCACCACAAGGACTATAATATAGACAGTCTACCTTGATATAAGTACCAACGGCTAATTCTACGGCTTGAACCCGTGACCTATACACATACAGCTCTATTTTTAAAAGTTGAGAAAAAGAAAGCAAGGCCTATTATTAATAAATGTATCATTAACTTTGTCAATGTTGTTTCTTATAGCGCAAGGCAGCAAATTACATTGCAAACGTAGTTGCAATGGCACTGATACAATTTAGCAACCGTTACACGGCCCATAAAGTTAAGAAACTAAGTTTTCCTGACTTTATGTGTTGCTCTAGAATCTACAAGTATCTTTTCAATTCAAGAAATGCTAAAGTTAATAACTCTAACTAGGACGGAAGGAGGGTTTTGGATAAAAAATAACTTAAAAGTACTTTGTGACTTCAGTAGTGGATTTCGAAAGTAAAGACTTTGTTTACTTCCTAAAAATTGTTTACGTAAAAACTAGTAGAAATAATGGAATCTTGAATGGAAAAAGAAACCGTGTTAGAGAGAAGAAAGAGACCTCTCTATTACAAGAATCATAGCCGGCCAAGAGAATGAAAATATTGGTGGAAGATCTGTATTTCGATCTGCCTTGGGTGCGGCGACGAAAAAAGTCTAGTTCATCCGCTTCAATTAAGCACATCTTATGAAATATACAGGCCGGGTTGATCTAAGGTCAAACATCCTAATCGAATACGAGTAATCTCCTAGATTAATTTTCCTTTTGTTTCGGATGGTTATTGATCATAAATTAAGAGCAGTTATATTAAGAACATGTCATATTGATGACAAAGAAAACATTGGAGAAGAAGTACGCTTAAACACTCTCCAAGACAACAAAACCATCATATTGTGGGGAGGNCCCACAAACCCCCGCCCTCTCCCCAAGCACCCCATGCTCAGAGGGAGTATTAGTAGTCAAGAATATACGCTTAGTATTTTTTATATGAAAACTACGCAGATACTCGCCAATAGAAGGCGAGACTTTAAAACCAAAAAGACGAGATTTCAATAAATATGACATATAGATATCAAAGTGAAACCAGAGTTACATTTTCAATTGAAGAGAAAAACATAACAGTTGTCCTTATTACTCATCTCAATATATATATTGGCAAATAATTGAAATTGAGTTGATATTTTGCCCTTTGATCAGGAGAAAACAGTCCAAAGTGTTTCTCTGTGATTTCTCCTATCTTATTATTTTCATCAAACATGGCAAACAAATAAGTTTCTATAGTCTTTCCAGGTTTCTTTGGAGTTCCTGCCCCGCTTTTCACATGATTAATCAAATTTCTGTAATAAGTTTGAGCGTTTTCAATAGTTGCTGCAGAGCTTCCTTCAGAAGGCCATCCACTTTCAGATACAATAATCTCCACATTTGGTCCTCCAGCTTTCTCTACAGCAAAATACATAGAATCCAAAATAGCATCAAAAAGATTTTGATACCCTGCTGAATTTGTTCCTTGCTGTGTGAACAATGCATAAGAAAGTGAAACATCAGCAGTGTTGGAAACGTGAACAAAATAAGGATAGACATTGGCTAAGAGTGGAAGGTTATTTCGTGCTAGAAATTGGATTATCGGATTAATGAAACTCTTGAATTCTTCGCGAAAAATACTACGTTCAGGTGGGTAGGTATTCGCTAAGACCCCTGAATATGTCACAGTTGAGACCTTGATCATATCTTGCAACCCTGCTGCTGCTAAAGCATTGTACACATTTTTCATTGCTTGAAGAAGAAATTCTGAATATTGATCATTATTTGTGGGAGATACTTTATTTCCTATAGATATGTACTTGAATTTAACATATGGGAAATGACTTCTTATGTTATCTTGAACCCAACCATTGGCTATTGAAGAATTGGCTAGGGCTTCAAGGTCTTGATTTGGGACACCAAGAATGATCTCAATGTTACTTCCATTGAGAGCTTTGAAAATGTTTTTATCAGGATAGTAAATTCTCAACTTTCTGATGCCATTAGCATTGTATAGGTTTATAACATCTTGGTCTGATGGTAAATTGTTGGCAGCTTTTCCATAGCATACTCCAATAGACTGTGCCCCTGCATGATAAGAAAAAATGTACATTAGAATATGCGACAGTCCCCAAATAAGTTAGGTGTCGGACTAAATGAATATTCTCACTAAATATGATTCTCTATATAAATTCTTCTCAAACCAACATTATAGTGTCAGGTCACCTAGAACTATAAGTAACTATTCATAATAAGTGACTTAAAAAAATAAGGTATGTTACCCGATACAACATACAACAACAGCAACAATCCAGTATAATCCTACTTAGTGGGGTCTGGGGAGGGTAGTGTGTACGCAGACCTTACGCCTACCCTGGGGTAGAGAGGCTGTTTCCAAATAGACCTCCCGACATCCTTCCCTCCAAGAACTTCTCACCTTGCTCTTGGGAAGACTCGAACTCACAACCTCTTGGTTGGAAGTGGAGGTTGTATCTTACTTGATACAACATAAAAATATTATAACAAACCCAATATAATTTCACAAGTGGAGTCTGGAAAGGTAGAGTGTATGCATACCTTACCCCTAACTTTTGAGGATAGAGAAGTTATTTTCGATAAACCTTCGGCTCAGAGAAAAATAGAAAAGAAGCAATAGCAATAACAAACAAACAGTAAATAACTGCATGTTAATAGATCAACCAAATTGAAAAACAAGAACAGAATCCCTAGCTAGTAAAGGAAAACTAAGCATAAGAAAATAGAAGAGCAAATCAGTACTATCATAAAAGTTATTTACGCTATCAGTGTATATAAGTTGATCCACATCGTACAAGGTGCATATACATGTAGTGTACATGTGTGTGTGTGAGAGAGAGACCTATGATTTGGATACTGCACATTATCAGCCCAACAAGTACAAGGGCAGCTGCAAGAAAGCCATTTTTAATGCATAAAGCCATAGCTAAAATGGAAATGAGAGATCGTAAGAAACACTTGAGCTGAAATTGTGAGTTTAAGGAACCATTAAGCTGCTTCTTATATAGACAAGCATAAGAAGACCGACAAAGACTTAAAAAGCCAAAGTCAATTGCCCAGTCAAGCACGTTATGGAATAAAAACAGTGTAATTTTTGTCACTAGTGAAGAAAAAAAAAATGTAGAAAGTTCAAATCTAATGTTGTGATGGAGAGAGACATAGAATTTTATGGGAAAAATGGTCGAATATTCGGAGAAGGGGCAACTTTGCCCTCCGTAGACTTTAATTCCGAATAGTGTAACAGCAAATTTAAACATTTTACTTTAAATATATGTGTGGAGATTATCTACGTTATCACAACTCATTTACGTGTATTTGATACTCCCATATTCTGAAATATTTCTAGTTTTTCCAAATTGAATTTGACTCAAAATGTTTGAGCTGTTAGAAAATAAGAAATCATCTAATATTACTCTTTTTTTCAAATCCATCCTATCTTTTTAATTAGTATTAATATTAGTTAAGTGATATGTTTAAGGAGAGAAAAGGGAATTCAGACAAATACCCTTATGATTATGTCTAAATTGACTTTCCTAAGAGCATGCAATAATCTTAAAATATATGTAATATTGACAAGAGGCAGTAAAATTAAAGGAAACACTTAAATTTGTTTTGTAAAAACTAAACAGACAAAGTAATCCACAAACACAGTGGCGGCTTAAGAGACCTTACATTTTTCTTTAAACGACCATATATATTTTTAATTAAAGTCTATTTTTATAGTTTCTTGAGATGCAAAGTTGTTAAATAATATCTTGAGATGGCACTGCACAAAACACCCTCACACCCATCCACCCAACCCCATCCCATGCCTA